CCTTATTTTATGATTTTTTTTTTTTTGACTTTCCGCTCATTTCCTACGACTTTATGAAGATGTACTTTTTACAAATAGTCGTTCGGGTCTAAACACAGTGACGATCAATGTCATTGCCTACTTGAAGTGCGATACCAACATTTATACAATTAATTACTTTTCTATTATATTGTTCAATACGTTCATAAATTACTAATTTCGTCGGCTACAAATGTAACCATAAGTGTTTTAAACACTTTTGATACGACAGATCGAATATGTTTAAATATGAAGAAATGAGTGTCTGAACAAATTTGTCTGTTTTCATATCTAATTATCTTTAATTTAATATACTGCTTGTCCATTCTATTGAATATTGATACAAACTTTCACTCACCTTAGGGTGTGTACAAAAAAGTTCTCCTATAAATAAATATATTTAGCCTCGAGGATTTGATTCTCTCATGATGCATAAATCACGTGTCGCTATATAAAAAATTTAAATGTTCAATGTCATTCCGTGACGATTATAAGAAATGTCACAAAAAAAGAAAAATGTTCAGAGTATAACGATCGATATGACCTGTAACTTTCTACAACATTCGCATACACGTATGACTTCTCAAATTCATCCTATATTCGAGTATTTGAAATCATAATGATGGTATTAGACATGATAATCATCATCATTATTTGAAAGAAACTTCATACGGATGCATAAAATTGGGTTGAATACTTGAATTATTACACTATTCTATATACTCATTTTGTTTCATAAATAAAGTACGAATAGAACTTGAATTAATTAAACTTCATATTACTTATTTGTTTATCGAAAAAAATTCTCTGTGTTGCTAGATAAATATTTAAACACGTCTCAACAATTCAAAATTTCAAAAACTGAATGATGATGATGATGATGATCAAAGTAATCGATGTCGGCTTTGTGATATAAACTAACAAAATTTGCTCAAACAAGGACAAAACATGGTTCATTGAAGCCTAGGATTGATACAACTTACGTTAGCTACACCAAATTTTGTGGCAATTTTGTATGACAATGATCCCTCATTGATAATGTCTCGTTTTAGGTTTAATATGCCTTTCATTGTCTCCATTATGAGCATGCATACATTGCATATACGTAAACTAAAATGTTGATCCGTGTCACTAGATGACCGTTTACATGTGTACATTAATTTGACGACAAAATTAATATTTTATTAAGTATAAAGCATGCGTGTAACATGTACTGATGATTCAATTTTCAAGTGATTGAGAGAAAAAGTTGTACAAGTGTACATTATTCTTTTCACCCACATGTTTCTATATCCAATGCAAAGTTTTCAATAAGGTTTTTTTTTCTTTTTCTTTTTTCGATTTGCATGGAAAAGTTTCGAAATTGAAATGAGATTTGTTCTTTCATCATCTTTCGAAGCTAGCTCTAACTCAAAATCTTTGCTATTGTTTGTATTTCCTTCACTTTGGATGGTAGACAAACTACCTTTCGTTTATAAATTGGAAAATTGATTGATAGACGTATTGAATAAAAAACACGAGTAGATATAGATAAATAGATAAGTTCTATTGTCAGTAATAATGAATTTTAGACCGTATTCACCAGCAATAAAATTGAACAAAAACTAGCTTTGTACCTAATCGATAATAACTTCAACTTAGCTATCAAATTTAACTTCCTTTCCTATTTTAATTTTGGCATTATTTTCTTCTTTTCCATTGCTTGCCCCTAGAAGAGTAAAGTATTAAATTAAAGTGGGGGTTAGAGAAATGGTGAGTTGGGAGGACCACAAGGTGCACTCATTCATGTCTATTCTAATTTTTAATTCAATCATGCCACACCAACTTTTTATCAAAACACACATGGTGGGCAATTTACCAATCATCAAGCATTCTAAGCTTCTCTAGAAAGCAATTATAATTTCCAATTTCAAATT